GGTATTACAATTTTAAAACTTTTTATTTATTTTTGAAATCTGTACATTGCTAGATGGCCTTAGTTTTTTGTTTTCAAAAGCAAAAGACATAATTCATATTACAAAAACCACTGTCCTTATTCAGAACCAATTATTAGCCTCTTTGATAATCCAGCCCTTGTCTAAATAGTCCTGATCTCCATTCTTTGAAGGGGAAAAAAACCATGGGGACCAAATATAGATTTTTTTTTTCTATTCCACATTTATTCCACTTTTATGGTATTTCTGGAAGTGATGCTCATGGAGCAGCAATATTACACTGACCTTAATTTAAAAAAAAAAATTGGTTGATTAATTATGTGTTACCAAGTCAGTGCCAACTCTTAGAAGCCACATACACAGACCTTCTCCAGGAAGATCTGCCCCCAACTGGTCCTTCAGGTCTTCCAATGGTATACCCATCACTGCTATAATTGAATTCATCCAAATTGCTGCTGGTTGCCCTCTTCTTCCCTTTCCTTCCACCTTTCCTAGCATTACAGACTTCTCAAAAAGCTAGGTCTTTGTATAATGTGTCCAAAACATGATAATATGAGCCTAGTCATTTGTGCCTCAAGTGAGAACTCTGGTTGTTATATGATCAATTTGTTTGTTTTCTGGCTATTCGTGGTATATACAGGAGGCTTCTCCAATACCCAAGTTCAAAAGGATCAATACTGTTTCCACCCTGCTTCTTAAAAGTCCAACTTTCACATCCATAGAGTGCCACAGGGAAAACCGTTGCCTGAATGATTCAGATCTTTGTAGCTATAGACATGTCACAGCATCCGAATATCTTTTCCAAGGCTTATATTGCTACTCTACTAAGTGCTAGTCTGTGGCTTATATCCTGACTGCTGGTTCTTTTCTTGTTGATAGTTGAACCTAAAAGGCAGAAACTATCTACCACTTCAATGTGTTCTTTGTCAATTCTAAGGTTGGTTGCTACACATCTTGTTATTAGTTTAGTCTTCTTTACAATTAATCATAGTCCCATTTTATTTCACTGTGCTCATTGATTTTCATTATTAGAGCATGTAGATCATTTGCATTTTCAACTATCAGAATAGCACAAATTATTTTTCACAAGTTTATAAGTTAAAACTCCTTTCTTCAATATTAGTATGTAGACTGATCTCTTCCAATCTGTTCGGTCACTGTATCATTCTCCAGATCATGTTATAGTACTAGAGGTTCTTGTAAGCAGGGAATATTTTCTAAGGTATCTTGGCTGTTAATATTTCGAATGTACCAAATTTCAATGTATTCCTTCTGTCTCTGCTTGATCTTCTTTAATCAGTCACTGTCTGTCTATTGCTGTATCTTTTAGCATACCAGTTTGAGGTATTGGAACGTCCTTCTGAGTTGGGAGAACTTTCGGAAGACTTTCCTCATTTGTTCATATCTGTTTCCATCTTCAATGTCTTTGCAATACTGCTTCTTGTCTCCTCTAACAGTTCACTGAAATTCTTTAAGTTCCTTCCTGAGATCTTTGTCTTTCTTAGCTTTGACTTCTCTTCTCTTCTTGGTAATGTTTACCATTTGTTCTGACATCCTGTTTTTTTTGGGTTTTTTTTTCTGTTTCTTTGTCTTGGCAGTCTCTTTTCACATTCATCCTTAACAAGTTCTTTGATTGCATTCCACAGTTCCTCTGGCTCCCTATCAATGCGGTTCAGGACTTCAAAGTAATTCCTGATGTTCTCCTTGAAAATTGTGGAAATATGCTCAAGATTATATTGTGGAAGCTAGTTGGCTTTCTTTTTCCATTTTAGCTTGACTGAGAACTTGCATATGAGTGGTTTGTGATGTGTTCCACAGTCGATCTCTGGTGATTTTTGTGTACTCTATCAGATGATGTCCATGTATATATGGTAGGCCCATATATATATATATATATATATATATATATA